AAAAATAATTATAGTTTTATATTTATATTAATTATTTTATTTAATATTCAATATATATAATTATCCTTTAAGAATTATTTTAATAATAATTGATAAATAATTATATTATTTATATATATAAGAAAATATATTTATATATATTTTTAATATTAAATGTACAAATATTTAATGACAAATCAAAAATATATGAAATATATGAAAAACTAAAAAATTAAAAAATTAAAAAAAAATTTATACATACTTATATATAAAATACAAAAATATATGTATATATAATATTTGAATATAAATATTTCAAATAAATAAAATAAAAAAGAACATACCCTTCTATGATGCACATATTCTTTGTTTCACAAGTACAATAATTTCCGTATTTTTTTTTAAATTTATAACACATCTTATGAATCGCAATAAACTTAAACTTCATTACCAAAAATTAACGTATTATTTGAAATTTCACGAATATGAATAGAAAATATAGAAAATTAATCATTCTCCAATCAAAATTTATATTTATGTTGTCAAATAAACACATATGAATATAAAAATAAGTGAAATATTTATTCTAACCTTCATTATAAAATAAATTTAAAATAATATATTTAATAGTGTAATGTAAAATGTATAATTGAATTATTTAAACAGATATCATGCTCACGATATTGATATAAAACACTATCATACGCCATATTAGTTGCTCTTATATTCAAATTGATTAATTATTGCGATTTATGAAAAAATATATTCGATTTAATATATTTAATATTATATATAAAGTTTGCATATACATATGCATTAGTTTCAAATTAATAAATAAAATAACTGTAAAAAAATTAATTATACAACTAATATTTTATAGAGAATATAAAATAGAGAATATAAAAATGTTTGAATTATTGAATATATTCGATTTTATTTATATTCGAATATATTTTCTAAATTTTGATTTATTATTATTTGCAAATAAGTTTATATTTATATATTATTTATAGAAGAAAATATATTTTTACATAAATAAAATAGATTAATAACAGAGATAATATTGGATAACACTGAAGGAGAATCAAGGATTGTAAAATATAATAAAATAATATATTTAAAATAAAATATTATATTAAATAGTAACAACAATTATTATAATTACATATAAAATAATAATTTAATAATATTCATTATATAAAATAATAATATTCATTATAAACATTTTTTATTATATTTGAAAAAAAAATGTTATATAATACTATTATAAATCAATAGCAATCAAAAAATTCAAAAATATTACATATTACATATTACATGTTATATATTAAAATAATACATTTATTTTATACAAAAAACATAGGTGAACTTTTATTTATTCTTAAGGTCATTTTTTTCCGCTGTTCCTCTTGCAGATTATCTATATTCAATGGAATACTATACACACATAAAAATCATAATTATATGACAAACATGTAAATATAATAAAATATAATAATATGCATATAAACTTACTTGTGTATTAATGCTCTTGCTCTAAAAGCAGCTAAATGAGCATAATATGTAGGCGCAGGATAACTAACAGATCTTGTACAACGTGCAAACATATGACAAAGATAATATGTAAGTTGTTCAATTTCATTTTCAGGCATTTGATTTTCATTGCATATACATCTATATTTTGTAGGCCTAGCAGTACCCTATAAACATTTTGTATTATTATGCAAATACTTATTATAAATGTAATGATTACATCTATTTTTAATTATAGAATATTAACTTACTTGTATGCTAGTATGAGATACAAGATAAAAATCTATATGAGTTGGATGTGTAATTTCAGTATCAACAATAGTCCCTGCTTGTACATTAAAATTTTTATCATCAGAATTCTTCACATCAGTTGGAAAAAGACGTACATGATGTCGTTTTTGAACTACAAGAAATGTGATTGGGATTTTTAATTCATCAGATTTCTCTAAACGTGCAATAGCTTTTTTTATTGCAAATAATTCTTTATGCATTATTTGTGTAAGTTGTCCTTCGCTTACTCCATCTCTATATATCCAAAAACAACAATACTTATATAACAAATAACTCATATAATTGAAATTTTAAATCTATATTTTATTTAATATTTGAATTTATTTACCGATAAAAAATTAATTTCTGAGGTTTTTGTCTCGTTGTTGTATAAAAGTATTTCAATTGAATGATCATAATTTCTTCCAAATCTTGAATTATTTCTTCTCTCGGTGATTGAAGTCTTATTTCAACATTATACTTAAAAGCATTTGGATCGTGACTTGCTGCTACCTATAATATAATAAAATATTATTAATTATTATATTCATTTATATTATGAATCATTTTATTTTATATTTTATATTAAATCAAATTAATTTTATCATTATAAATCATTATATTTATATGGTTGAAATTAAAAAAATCTTACAGCTGCAATTGAGGGTATATTTATAGCATCAGGTGATGGATGAGTCACGTCTGCACCAATTATCATACATGGCTTATGTAGACAATTTGGACTGAAAACATATTACATATATATATTTACATATATATAATACATATTACATATTACAAAGAATATAAAATAATATTACCGATTAGTAGGAGTAATAATATGATTAATACCATTAAGCTTTGAATTAATTTTTAACAGAATATTCCCAATTGTTGAATCATTTAATTTTTTTAAAGTTTGATTTTTTATACATTGAGTTACAATACCTTCGTGTATTTGAAGTTCAGAAATTTGCTTTACAATACCTTAAAAAAATAAAAAATAAATAAATAAAATATTTTATTAAGCATTTTCTTTTATATATAAATCAATATTTTACTTACTATATGCATTCTCTAAATTTGGAAGTATCACTATTACAAGTAGTATATTTTGTTTCTTTTTATCTTTAAAATATTCGATAATATTACTAATATTTGTTTTAATAGTTAAATTTGTAAATGGAGTTTGTGCTTCTTCAATCTCCATGTTCAAAAACTTACCTAAGTAAGATGATAACGTAATAATTAAGATACTATACTATTGTAAAAGAATATTTTAAATGTCATATTGAGAAATTTCTTTTTTTGATACTAACCACCATGAAGTAGTTTTTCATGTAAATTATATAAATCATGAGTATGCACGAATTTATCCAAGTTTAAAATAGTCCATAAATTCTTTGGTAAAACACAAGGACTAAAAAATTTTTCTGCTTTCCATGTTCCCTTACATACAGTAACTTCTTTTTCTTTATACTGTAATTTTGGAGGCTTTAGAACTCTTGCTGGTACTTTTTCAAATTCTGCATTTACAGAAAAATGAAATTCATTCATTAAAGTTGGCTGCTGATTTAAATTCATCTTAGCAAACTATAAATAAATTAATATTTTATTAATAATAAGAAATTAATTTTATTTAAGTATTTAAATATTAAAAAAACTCTTACACTATTCATAATTTTTTCTTTACGTTTTTGTGTATTAGTTGCTGTTTCACGAATCATCTTAGAAGTTTGAATTTTATTCATTTCTTTGTGTATAACTTGTCCGGCAATTATCGTGCATAACTGTATAAAAATAAAGTTAAAATAAACTTATTATAATATTATATATAATATTATAACTTTAAGTATACTTTAAGTGTATCAGTAAAAAAATATTTTTTTATTGATATTTACCTCAACAGGTAAATAAATTGAGTTATTCCGAGATCCTACCCAAAGGCATGGCAGATTGGGATATTTTATTGAATATTTTTTAATTTGCAAAAAATATTTTTCAACCGAATATAAAGTTTGATCTTCCAAATGAAATTTATTTTCTCTTGGACAATCAACTAATTTATTTACACGATAAGTTCTTTTAGTAGTAGGTTGTCCAGGTAATTCATATTGAATTTTTAATCCCTTTAAAAATTTATTTATATTAACAAGATTGCGTTCTATATCTTTTGGAGTTAAATCCTGTACATTACATAGTTCTTTCATCAAATCAATAACTGATTGACTTTTAGGAAATCCTTTATGTGCAACTAAAATAAAATAGATATTAAATATATGAAATAATATTAATGATATAATTATATTAACATATTACCATCTATATTTAAATATGGTTTAGATCCAATTACAACAGATTGAAATACACCAACCCATAAATCTAATCCATTTGATAATGATACAATCCTTCCTGGTTCTGGTGGTTGAAAAAGTGATCTGCCAACCTAAATATCAATATTATTATTTAAAAATTTAAATATATTAAATTTATTATAATTACAATAAACAATATATTATATACAATTAATGTATAATTAACATGATTATAATACATGTATAACATATAAATATTGTATAATATTGTATAATTATTGTATAATATACAATATTATATATATAATATTATATAATATATAAATAAATCTTTTAATAATAATAATTAAAATTATTTATGTTATGTTAATTATTTGATTATTTTTATGATGAATAATATGAAATAAATTACCATTGTATAATGGTATGCAGGTCCATGACGTAAAATAATATCTAATGCTTGTATACATTTTTGATTCTTTTCAGAATCCATCAAATCACATTTTAGACTTGTTAACCATGACAAATCAAGAGATGCAACTTTATTTAAATATATTTTGAAATTTCTTTCTTTTCCTGTATTAACATCGACAATTTTTATTTCTTCTTCCTTCTACAATATATAAAAATAATTAAAACATTATAAAATAAATCAATATTTTGAATATAAATATATGTATTTGAAAAAAAATAAAATTTAAATAATATAAATTTTGAATATATATTATGATTGAAACAAATTATAGACATATAACTTACACTTTTATCACCAAAAGGAAGAATTTTTGCACTATATGCATTTTTTTTGCCATCAAATGCAGGATATCTTTTTGGACATTGCTTTTTTCTAAATTCTTCAAAAATAGTCCTTAATAAAAATTTTGGTTTATCTGGTGTTATGATTACATCATAATGTATAATATTTGTTTGAAAATTTTGTGCAAAAATGAGTTTAAGCATATTTGTTTCCACAATAATATTTCTACCTAATTTATTTATTTGGTTAGTTCGTTTTGGTATTTGAGCCAAATACATATCATGCATATTTTGTGTAAATGAATCAATTTTTTTTAAAACAACAGCAGTTTCCTAAATTAAAAAAAGAAATACAAAATGAATTCTCTATAAAATTTCATTCCTATATATAAATGTATAAATACCTGCTGTGATTGTTCTGAATGAGATAGCTGTGAAACAGATGACTGTTGCAGACTATGTAATTCTTGTGAACCACTTGGTTGTTGTTGTTCTTGATGACTATCTGACATTATTTCTTGATGTGAGATACTGAGCTGTTGCCTTTGACTATGTGATTGTTGTGGTGAATTA